TTAAATTTTAAACAAATGTTATGTGATCTAAATTATATAATTTAAATTATTGAATGGAAAGCGAATTCTTGATATTTAAAACTATTTTTATCTAATTGTACTTCATGTTTTATTGTAGAAATTTAAATTCATCATAAGATTTTATTTTCAAGCAGGATTTGTTATGTGTTCACAAAGGAATAAATGTGAATCTTAATTATATTAATTAAATTAAGGAATTCTTGCTTTACATACAAGAATATATATTAAAAGTGTAATCTAACATATAAAATGACTAGAATACTTTTGATGAAATAGTATAAAAAATAATTTTATTAAAAATATTTTAATATTATAAGTGAAATTATAATTTTAAACTATAATTTTAATGTACAACAGCTTGACATGTATATTGTTAGGTTCTCTTTGTATTTTTATGATGATTTAAAACCATAATTCAAAAGTGTTTAATCTATTTTTGTGCTAAGTGTGCAGGAAAGTTAATTCAAAGATTCTAATCTTTCCCCACAATTAGAATTGATTCATGTCATTCTTGTTCAGAGTTCTGGGTTCAAATCAATTATATTTGGTTCAAACCAATCTTGAACTTCTTCTTTTCGAAAATGGTTCGAACCATTATTTCTAATTTCAAAGCAAAAATTATGGAAGGATAAATTTTGACAATTCAACTATCCATTTATTCTTATTCTTAATGGGTCTTGGGGGAACCAAATTGTCTGAGTACTTTCCAAAGTCAAGTTAAAATTAGTAGAATAAGGTGGAATCTAATTGGAGCATTAGTGAGGTGGCTTTGAAGGGTTAAATGGACTTTAATTGCAAGGCTCCAAACCTACTATTAAAAAGATCATAAAATGAAATGAAAGAAGAAGGACAAACTGCTCTAGTGTTACAGAAAACAGAGTTTGAAACTGTTCTGAATCTCCTTCTTCTTCTTCTTCTTCTCCTTCTTCTTCTCCTTCTTCTCCTTCTTCTTCTCCTTCTTCTTCTTCTTCTTCTTCTTCTTCTTCTTCTTCTCCTTCTTCTTCTTCTCCTTCTTCTTCTTCTTCTTCTCCTTCTTCTTCTTCTTCTTCT